TGGCTTGATCGTGCAAATACACATTAAGTATATATAACACAGATATTTTTAATGTGGTAAATCTTTCATTCAAAATTTCCAGTTTATTAAATACAGCCTAACTGACGTTCTGTTTAATATGCAAGAAGTTTGGTGCATTGTACTAAAATCCTTGATTATTTCCTGTAATTTAGTCTTCAATATTTCTGCACAACTCTGTTGTTCAGGTGACATTTTTTATTATCAAAACATAGTATAGGTGCAAATAAAAAAAAAAGAAAGTTTTTCAGATTTAGTTGTGGCTGTCACCAACAACCTTTGCAGGATTGTTGATGATCACTTCACTCAACCGTACTGTGTCCAGGGCTGCTTCAAAAAATTCAAATATTGTTTGAAAATACTTAGACTGAGGTTGGGTTAGTTTCTCTCATTCACTTGCAGAGTTCAGTCTTTACTTTCACCTGACTGCGAAATTAGGAGGGAAATCAGTACACCAACCTTGTAGTCGATCCCCTGCTTAAGGACAATTTCATATGACCAATTAAGATGGTAGCCTGTTTTTTGACTTTTGTTGGACCCAGTAAGAAGCTGACAAATAATGGGTCAAATCTGCAAACTTCACATAGAAAATTATTGCGTAGCTATTGATTCATGGCTACAGTATGAAGAAGGCCTGAGTTATTGAGGATTTGTAAAAATCCTTAAGCAGAAACAGAATAGTTCTAAGAAAACTATTTTTTATGGAGTAAAAAACATCTTTCCTTAAAAAATAACTTTATAAGAGAGGACTGTAGTTATGAAGTATAATAAAGTGTAAAAACAAGGAAGCTTGAACTATCCTCACACGGTGACAACAGATTTCCAGGAAAATAACCATGCAAAAAAAATAACAATAACATAAAAAGCAAATTACCACGGCAGTGCAGGAAAACAGACAGTTCCCTTCATACATGTTCCCAGCATTACGCAAACACTGTTCCTCGTCCATGGATACAAAAGTGCGTTTCTGTGTGTGTGGTTTTGGAAGTGAGCAAAGGCTGTTAAACACTATTATGACCTCAGAAAGCAGCAGAGAAGACTGCTGCAAAGCTATCCTGATGTAGACTTTGTCAATTACAGCTTGTTGTGCATGTTAAGTTTATTCCTAATGACCCGAAAAATGAAATAATCTCTAAGCTCTCCACTGCACAGGTTGCTTAATAGCTAAACCGTTAACTCTCAGCACTATGTTTTTGTGTCTTAGCAACACACGTATACGAAGAGGACTACAGCAGCTCGGGTAAAATAAAACAAGACAAAATATAAATATATAGGACTGTTCTGTTTTGTTTTAGGTTGACTATTTTGCTTCTGGTTTATTCTAGACCAGGTGTGAAAAGCAGACAAAACAAAGCTCCATGTACACAGTTACATTCTCAACAATAAAAACAAGAAGACACACACACAAAACACTTTGGGAAACTATTTTAAGCTCTTTAAGTCACAACAGTTTGGAACTGGAAATTGTCAGAACCAGCTCAAATGGACACTTTGAGAGATGCAGACAATTTTTTTAAAGATACGTAAGAACAGAACCTGTGACAGAGGCAAGACCAGTGAACTAATCAGACAAAAACTGCGTCATCCCAAAGAAAGAAGACTAAACCCAAAGTTGAGCAGCGTTGAGTAGCGTTGTTCAGCTAGCCCAGCAGCAAGGAATCCCTAAATCCTACTTGGAGGAACCAAACAAAAATTACACTAATGCATGGCACAGCATAGGAGAGATAGCAGCTCTGGCCAAGATTTAGTTGTACACTTGCACCTCAAGAATTAAAGACAACACTTTTGGAATCCAAAATGCTCAGATCTTGGACAAGGAAAACAGATTGATTTGAAAGAGGGGTGAAGCAAGTCATCTTTGTTAAAAAAGAAAAGCTACTTTTAGCACCAAAGCATACAGCACTCCATCTTGAAATGCATTCCAAAGAATATCCACAACCATTGTCATATAGAGTCAAAAACATAAAAATAAAAAAACAAAAACAAAACAACAGATCCTTGATTTGGATCCGACTTGGAATGTGTTTAGGTGGATGGACCTCCAGGGGCTTAAACAAATCAGTCCAACTACTGGTTGTTTGAGTGGTTGTTGAAATGTAAGTCTGGTTGCCACAGATTTAAGCCTGTTTTGTGGCTGCTGTGATCTGGATGACTGAGAATTTGCAAAATCACACAAAACTGAAGATTTTTTTTTAATAAACATCTTTGCATAAACATTTTGGGTGAATCAATTAGATCATCTGTGCAGCCTTATGATCTAATTTTTGCTTACTTTTTCCATTTAGAAATATTCTACAATAATGAGAAAAATGACAACAACTTAAATTACCCTCTTGAGGATAATTTAAGTTATATATGAGGGCACAAAGCCTAATGATTATTTTGAATAATTATTTTGAGAACAGAAATTTAGAAGAGTCTGCAGGATTGCATTTCTTAACAATGGACTGTTTGAGCCATGGTTTCTCACTGTCCAGAAAAAGCAGCTAATAATTCAAGTTATGTAAGCCTGATTGCCGAAACATAAAACAGATTTTTCTGATCATGTTTCCCTTTGTTTAATCAAGTTGCAGCAAAGAGCACCCATTAGCATTACAAATACTCTGGTAGATGAAGTCTCTTAAACTGCTGCTCTGTTAATTTAATGTTGAAACTAAATCCTCATGTTGGCCTGTATCTGGTAAAAGGCCTCCTGTGATATAGTTAAACCAATAAAAAATAATTCTCATGTGCAACTACTGGCAACAAAGCTATTTAATAAAACAATAATGATAACTTCTCCTTTTAATGGAGAATTGTCATATAAACACATTCACTAGTGGTATTTTTTTTTAAGTTGCCATAAATTGGGATATTTTTTTTCTTTGCACCCAGAGGCAATAAATCCACGTGGACAACTTTACTTGTATTTGCTGATTTTATCTTTGAAAGAGCAATTGTTTTAAGCCAAGATATAATAAAAAACATGTGGTCAATACAATGTGCAAATAAGCTGGCATTTCGTGCCCCTGCAGAGCTACAACTACTACCACATGGCAGTAGAGTTAGCATATCAAGGTTTCTTAAGGACTATATTAGACCAGTTATTGAAGAAGATGTGATCAAATATAACATTATTATTTTTTTATTTTCAAAAAACAGTTAAATAAAAAAGCTTGTAAATGATTGTGGGCAGTCAAACTGCAACCTAACAGGTGAAGCTTAGACGAAGGATCAGCAACCTTGATTTCAAGAAGCTATTCTTGCCCTTCTTCTACAGTAAATACATAAAAGCAGATCTTGTATAAAAAAAGCAACCTTAACGTGTTTTATTATGTTTTATAATCACCTGCTGCTTAAATTATGTATGTTTTATAGTTGGAAAAAGATAAAAAAATGTTTCAAGACTAAATAAAAATGGCGAAACCTCTATAAGAGGACAATAGAATTCTTTTGTTGAGTCAAGTTTTTCAAAAGTTCCTTTCTTTCACCTTGTATTTAGAAGAAAAACCATTACGGAAAGTAAAGTAAATACTATATATATATATATATATATATATATATATTTATGAACAGCTAAGATACTGCGCAGAACCCTCAAACTCCCAGTCCTCTGGAGGATGACACATACCACCCCAAGAGGGGTGAGAAAACAGTTTTTTTTTTTTATATATATATATGAACTGAAAAAATAATCATGACTGCAAAAACACATAAATATATTATGTATATATCTTTTTTCTATTTAATGTATTATTATTATTATTATTAAGTTCCTTAATTTCAAATAGTAACAGAACTATGAAAGCTCAGCTCTACATGAAGCATTGCTTATATAGCAAATATTAAGCATTTAGTGTGCATAGTTAAAAAAAAGGCCCGTCTCTATTTGGCTGG